CTGCAACCCCTACCCCTATACTATCACCTTGGCCCTTAACCCCAACATCAACCCTTACTACAACTCCTGCCTCTATACTATCACCTTGACCCTTAACCCCAACATCAACCCTTACCGCAACCCCTGCCTCTATATTATCAGCTCGACCTTTAACCCCAACATCAACCCTTACCACAAACTCTACCTCTATACTATCACCTCGACCTTTAACCCCAACATCAACCCTTACCGCAACCCCTACCTCTATACTATCACCTTGACCCTTAACCCCAACATCAACCCTTACTGCAACCCCTACCTCTATACCGTCACCTCGACCTTTAACCCCAACATCAACCCTTACCGCAACCCCTACCTCTATACTATCACCTTGACCCTTAACCCCAACATCAACCCTTACCGCAACCCCTACCTCTATACGCTCACCTTGACCCTGAACCCCAACATCAACCCTTACCACAACCCCTACCTCTATACTATCACCTTGACCCTTAACCCCAACATCAACCCTTACCGCAACCCCTGCCTCTATACTATCACCTCGACCTTTAACCCCAACATCAACCTTTACCGCAACCCCTACCTCCATACTATCACCTCGACCCTTAACCCCAACATCAACGCTTACCGCAACCCCTACCTCTATACTATCGCCTTGACCTTTAACCCCAACATCAACCCTTACCGCAACCCCTGCCTCTATACTATCACTTCGACCCTTAACCCCAACATCAACCCTTACCGCAACCCCTACCTCTATACTATCACGTCGACCTTTAACCCCAACATCAACCCTTACCACAACCCCTACCTCTATACTATCACCTTGACCCTTAACCCCAACATCAACCCTTACCGCAACCCCTACCTCTATACCGTCACCTCAACCTTTAACCCCAACATCAACCCTTACCGCAACCGCTGCCTCTATACTATCACCTCGACCTTTAACCCCAACATCAACCCTTACTGCAACCCCTACCTCTATACTACCACCTCGACCTTTAACCCCACCATCAACCCTTACCGCAACCCCTACCTCTATACTATCACCTTGACCCTTAACCCCAACATCAACCCTTACCGCAACCCCTACCTCTATACTATCACCTCGACCCTTAACCCCAACATCAACCCTTACCGAAACTCCTACCTCTATACTATCACCTCGACCCTTAACCCCAACTTCAACCCTTACCGCAACCCCTACCTCTACCCCAAACCCACTTTAACCCCTGCTGTAATGTAACCCCCCAACTCGACTAATTGTCACCCTTTTTTATTTACAGTGGGCTTCGGTCTAAATGGGAACGAGCATTTAGATTATTTGGATAATTTTGCTGCTATAAATTTCCACGTTACAAGGCCACTTTGTTGAGTTATCATTTGTGGCCAGGTCGTTTCTGAAAAAAAGGTCATTGCCTCATTGGGCTTTACCTGGTAAGATAAAAAATACATTTAGTGTATATATATTTAAGTTACTGTATTTGTTTAACTTTCCTATACTTTGCACTACTGTCATGTTGTATTGTTTGTTGTTGTAACGTTCTGACCCGCCCCTACGGGACATCAGTGAGCTTCATAGCTCATCGGATTCCTCCAGTAGAAATACACATTCCGTTTCTGAGTTGAACACAGTGCTACCACCATCGGGTGTCTCAGCACAAACTCGGGGGATGTTCGAACGACAACCGACAAAACCGGTAACCGTTTTCCGAAATCGATTACCGGGGTTTCCGAAAGCAGCCGGTTCCCAGGCGAAACATTCGCACCGATCCTGGCTGTGCCGATTTAGCATGCGCAGAAATACAAACCGCACGGCGGACAAAGTCAACGCGTGGCACGCCATTTACTCGGTTAATAAGGTAAAGGTGCAAGCCCTGAAATTTGCTTGTTCACGTCACTGCTGGTGGAGGGGACCTGCACGTGTAGATGCTTGGCCAACTCTTTCCACGCCATTCAGACGTGTCGAAAGAGTCATAATAAAGGTTCATTTGGGTTAGATCGCGAAAGTATGAACGTGTCGTAACATTTATACTTACGCGATATAACCCCAAAAACCTTTATTATGAATAATATCGGTCGCTAAAGCGTACTTGTGTGTGTGTGTGTTGGAAGAGGTTGGAGTACCCACACTTTACCCCACCATGCGCGACTTCCCGACTGACTTATCCTGTGGTTGTGCCCATTTACACTGCTGGGTTTTCTGGGGCACCCTGTGCAAGGGAAGGGATTGAACGGATTCCGAAGCCTCTGGAGTGCATGTCCAGTGTGCCAAAGCTATTACACAACTGTGGCAGCTACCACTGTTACTCAGTTAGACGTGTATATGTGTGGAAAATCGGTAACCGGTTTTTACAAGATGTTTTTATTTTCATTTGGTTAGCGGTATTGCAAAAGTGCAAAAACAATTCCTGCAGCCCCGAACACAGATGCCGATTGACGGACTATCCGGGATGATGGTTGAGAGAGTGCATGGTGTTGTTTGTTGGTGGTTGATGGAGGATGATTATGAAAATGATGGAGGAGGTGACGGTGTGGATGCTGGATGATGGTTCAGACATCATGGTGGTTCATGCTTGAGAGAGGTCCGATGTTTTATTACCGCGTTGTTCAGAAGCTAAATGTCCAATGTCGAGGTTCTCTAGTCACGACGACCAGACTTCAGCACAGAGTTCGTGCAGATGTTCTATTCCTCCATTAAAGGAGCGCAGACTACAGCGGCATACTATATAGCCCATAGTCTGGGTAGGTTGGCTGGTGCAATGCCCGATCCACAAATACGAAGGAGACATCACAGTGATAAACTCCGCCGTTCCTGACGCTGTTGCCTGGCTTGACCACCCGAATGTGAAATTGTAGTTGTTTGCGCTGCATCTATATTAGCAGCCATACGAAATAATAATAAGAATAAAGACTTCTTTGGTTCTCGGTAAAGTCAATTGAAGCTCTGTCGTCCCGACAGTTCTGTTCTTTCACCTGAAGAAGGCTACTTGTGTTGTGGCCGAAACGTCGTGAGAATTGTATTGTCTTATTTTATTATTTTATTCTCATTCTACGTGACTTTACCGAAAGAACCAAAGAAGATTAATCCTTGCAGTCACGAAAGCTTTAAATCGAAATAAAAAGACTGTTGCTGGACAATGATGACGGCGGGTATCTTTGAGGTGTTCCACACTGCCATTGTTCTCGGAGCTCCCCGGCAAACAGAGAAAGTTGGGTCAATATTGAGACAACGTTGATACATATTCTTAGTTCTTTCGGTAAAGTCACGTTGAAGGGAAACAATAAAATAATAAAAAAATAGAACTAAGAATATGAATTACTGCAGTCACGAAAGCTTTAAATCAAAACGTTGATACAACCACGTGCCAACGTTGGCACGTGTACTAGGTCGGTGAGTTGAAACGGGGGCTTGGCACGGGCATCCAGATCTTAGCTTCCCTCCCATGTCCTCATCACGCTGGCACCGAGACGAAGTGTCTCATCCAGGCAGGATGGGGCGCGTCTATAATTGCCTAAGGGCCCACGCAGTGAGAACCGGTAGCTGGGGATTGAGTTGAGGTTGTTCTCACCACCACCATCACCACCACCACCACAACAAGTCTATAATTACTGGTGTAATTTGGGGGAGCGCTACGGACCCGGTAACCCGAGTTCGATTCCTGCTCACAGCCAACACCACTGACGATTGTCTGAACCGGTCCTGAGGCCTTCCCTAGGTCGACTCAGACTCAAAATGAGCACCTGGTGCGGTGTGTAAAACATCGTCACTGGGGTGACAAAGGCGGTCGGGGGTGGTGCTACAGGCCACCCACCACCGCGTGTGCCTTTGCCAACGTTAATAGGTGTTATCTAACAGCACTTGCCCCGAGGGTATCTTAAAGGCGACTGGAGGGGATCGTTACTTTGTAATGTGTGCACCAATTCGTCTTCCAGCCAAACGTCTCAATGTTGCGTGGGGTTGCCTGCTTCAATTTCCTTTCTCCTTGTGCAGTCATCCCTCGTTGCACAGAAACGAAATGTACGGAATGGCGCAAAAAATGTGGACTTACAGATGAGGTAACGAATCCGACATACGTTCCATGAAATTCGCATTTACAGAATGTTGAATCTCTCAGTTATATTGCGTTGCGTTGGGGGTGGGTGGAGGGGTGTGGAACAATGCTTAGCCGTATTCTCTCGAGCGTGACGTTTACGTGTGCAATATGTGCGTGTATGATACCCAAGTAATGTTTAGTGGGAGCACGCCTGTCGAGGAGACGGAGCGACGGAACCGGCTCGTGTGTAGGAGCTCGGCGGATTTTTTTGTTTGTACATCACAGGATCCTGAGAGATGGCGACGCCTTGGGGATTGGAGACCTTCATCCAGCAGTGGATTGATCATGGCTGGCAATTATATTTTTTTAATCCGACATCTCCTGCAAACGCCCTCTCTCTCTCTTCCCCTGGTTCCCCCACGTCTGTTGCGACCGATGCCAGAATCTGTGCGTGTGCAGCCCCTCCCTACCCCCTCCACTCATCCGAAGTGGAACGCAGTTGCGAGGGAGGTCGGCAGCTCCGCGTGGTGGTGATCGACAGTGAAGAGACTGGGGGCCGCATTGACCCAGCGGGGGGCTTTAAGGCGCCACAGTCCCCGGGGCCTTTGATTTTCAGTGGAACGTCAAACAAATGCGCACGCAGAAACTGCTTTATAATGTTTGAAATTTCAACACTGGAGCACTCCGACAGAGGCCATGGTGCCGGTTGGTAATTTAGAGCCCTCGTGTGAGTTCACCTCGATTTAGATTTGCAATTCGTATATGGAATTGAATAACAAAAACTGCAATTCAAACAAGCGGGATAACTAACAATGAATGCGTTTGGCATCATCGGGCATTGGTGGTGGTAAATCAGTCGAGAGGACGGAATTAAATAGAGAGGGGGTCTGTGAAAAGAGCTTTATACCCCATCGGATTCATCCAGTATAAATACATATTCCGATTATGATACTGGGTCCTCCCAAAACTTTAATAACTCTGGGCCGCCCGTTAAAATGTAATCCGGCTTTGGAGGAAGAATTCACAGCCATCAACGATTCCGTCATCCACACCCCTTCACCGCAGAACAATGAGGTCACACACCGCTCTATAAGAGACGAGGTGGCACGACCAACGCCCGAAGCCTCCACACCCGTGTGAGTCTTCCTCCGCACCTGGGTGAGTCTTCAACGCACCTGTGTGAGTCTTCCTCCGCACCTGTGTGAGTCTTCAACGCACCTGTGTGAGTCTTCCTCCGCACCTGTGTGAGTCTTCCCCCGCACCTGTGTGAGTCTTCTCCCGCACCTGTGTGATTCTTCCCTCGCACCTGTGTGAGTCTTCAACGCACCTGTGTGAGTCTTCAACGCACCTGTGTGAGTCTTCCCCCGCACCTGTGTGAGTCTTCAACGCACCTGTGTGAGTCTTCCCCGCACCTGTGTGAGTCTTCCCCCGCACCTGTGTGAGTCTTCCCCCGCACCTGTGTGAGTCTTCAACGCACCTGTGTGAGTCTTCCCCCGCACCTGTGTGAGTCTTCAACGCACCTGTGTGAGTCTTCCCCGCACCTGTGTGAGTCTTCCCCCGCACCTGTGTGAGTCTTCCCCCGCACCTGTGTGAGTCTTCAACGCACCTGTGTGAGTCTTCCCCGCACCTGTGTGAGTCTTCAACGCACCTGTGTGAGTCTTCCTCCGCACCTGTGTGAGTCTTCCCCCGCACCTGTGTGAGTCTTCTCCCGCACCTGTGTGATTCTTCCCTCGCACCTGTGTGAGTCTTCAACGCACCTGTGTGAGTCTTCAACGCACCTGTGTGAGTCTTCCCCCGCACCTGTGTGAGTCTTCAACGCACCTGTGTGAGTCTTCCCCGCACCTGTGTGAGTCTTCCCCCGCACCTGTGTGAGTCTTCCCCCGCACCTGTGTGAGTCTTCAACGCACCTGTGTGAGTCTTCCCCGCACCTGTGTGAGTCTTCCCCCGCACCTGTGTGAGTCTTCCCCCGCACCTGTGTGAGTCTTCAACGCACCTGTGTGAGTCTTCCCCCGCACCTGTGTGAGTCTTCAACGCACCTGTGTGAGTCTTCCCTCGCACCTGTGTGAGTCTTCCCCCGCACCTGTGTGAGTCTTCCCCCGCACCTGTGTGAGTCTTCAACGCACCTGTGTGAGTCTTCCCCCGCACCTGTGTGAGTCTTCCCCCGCACCTGTGTGAGTCTTCCCCCGCACCTGTGTGAGTCTTCCCCCGCACCTGTGTGAGTCTTCCCCCGCACCTGTGTGAGTCTTCCCCGCACCTGTGTGAGTCTTCCCCCGCACCTGTGTGAGTCTTCCCCCGCACCTGTGTGAGTCTTCCCCGCACCTGTGTGAGTCTTCCCCGCACCTGTGTGAGTCTTCAACGCACCCGTGTGAGTCTTCCCCGCACCTGTGTGAGTCTTCCCCCGCACCTGTGTGAGTCTTCCCCCCGCACCTGTGTGAGTCTTCAACGCACCTGTGTGAGTCTTCAACGCACCTGTGTGATTCTTCCCCCGCACCTGTGTGAGTCTTCCCCCGCACCTGTGTGAGTCTTCCCCCGCACCTGTGTGAGTCTTCCCCCGCACCTGTGTGAGTCTTCAACGCACCCGTGTGAGTCTTCCCCCGCACCTGTGTGAGTCTTCAACGCACCTGTGTGAGTCTTCAACGCACCTGTGAGTCTTCCCCCGCACCTGTGTGATTCTTCCCCCGCACCTGTGTGAGTCTTCCCCCGCACCTGTGTGAGTCTTCCCCCCGCACCTGTGTGAGTCTTCAACGCACCTGTGTGAGTCTTCCCCCGCACCTGTGTGAGTCTTCCCTCGCACCTGTGTGAGTCTTCCCCCGCACCTGTGTGAGTCTTCCCCCGCACCTGTGTGAGTCTTCCCCCGCACCTGTGTGAGTCTTCCCCCCGCACCTGTGTGAGTCTTCAACGCACCTGTGTGAGTCTTCAACGCACCTGTGTGAGTCTTCCCTCGCACCTGTGTGAGTCTTCCCCCGCACCTGTGTGAGTCTTCCCTCGCACCTGTGTGAGTCTTCCCCCGCACATGTGTGAGTCTTCCCCCGCACCTGTGTGAGTCTTCAACGCACCTGTGTGAGTCTTCCCCCGCACCTGTGTGAGTCTTCAACGCACCTGTGTGAGTCTTCCTCCGAACCTGTGTGTGTCTTCAACGCACCTGTGAGTCTTCCCCCGCACCTGTGTGAGTCTTCAACGCACCTGTGTGAGTCTTCCCCCGCACCTGTGTGAGTCTTCCCCGCACCTGTGTGAGTCTTCCCCCGCACCTGTGTGAGTCTTCCCCCGCACCTGTGTGAGTCTTCCCTCGCACCTGTGTGAGTCTTCCCCCGCACCTGTGTGAGTCTTCCCCCGCACCTGTGTGAGTCTTCAACGCACCTGTGTGAGTCTTCCCCCGCACCTGTGTGAGTCTTCCTCCACACCTGTGTGAGTCTTCCCCCGCACCTGTGTGAGTCTTCAACGCACCTGTGTGAGTCTTCCCCCGCACCTGTGTGAGTCTTCCCCCGCACCTGTGTGATTCTTCCCCCCGCACCTGTGTGAGTCTTCCCCCGCACCTGTGTGAGTCTTCCCCCGCACCTGTGTGATTCTTTCCTCCGTACCTGTGTGAGTCTTCCCCCGCACCTGTGTGATTCTTCCCCCGCACCTGTGTGAGTCTTCCCCCGCACCTGTGTGAGTCTTCCTCCGTACCTGTGTGAGTTTTCAACGCACCTGTGTGATTCTTCCCCCCGCACCTGTGTGAGTCTTCCCCCCGTACCTGTGTGTGTCTTCCTCCGCACCTGTGTGAGTCTTCCCCGCACCTGTGTGAGTCTTCCCCCGCACCTGTGTGAGTCTTCCCCCCGCACCTGTGTGAGTCTTCAACGCACCTGTGTGAGTCTTCAACGCACCTGTGTGAGTCTTCCCCCCGCACCTGTGTGAGTCTTCCACTGCCCCGTGTGAAACTCTAAACTCTGCTGCCTGCCCACCTCCGCCCGCAGAGTCCTCACTGCGTTGTGAAGATGGTGGAGGCGTTGTGCGGAACGTGGACGCTGGTGGACAGCAAAAACTTTGACGAGTACCTGAAGAAGCTGGGTACGTGTGAGCACGCTGCACTATTTTCGTCACCGACACAAAACAATTGATGACTTCCTCACCCCCCCCCCCCCCCCCCCCAGCCCACATTGACTGGAGTGGAGAATAGCAACGTATATTTACGCATCATTTATAGCAACATGGTTTTTTTCCCCAGGATTTTTCTGTTGCGTGTCGCCACTTTAAGATGTTTTCTTGTTCATGTGTTTTTTTGTTTTGTTGCGGTTGCACCCGAGTCAAGAGCCGCATGGCTCACAGGGTTACACCTAATAAATGACATAAATGAAACTGAAAAAAATCCAAGCAGGCACCCAGCCAGCTCGACAGCCAGGCAGTCAGCCAGTCAGTCATTCAGTGAGGCAACAAAGGCAAAGATCCCCTGTATAGCCTGTAACTGACCGGTGGGGCAAGCGCTGTTAGCGAGCACCCTCTGAAGGCCGGCACGGCACACGAGGGGAGCTCCATCGCCGTGCCGTGCCGCGCAACCATCCGCGGATTGAGGACTCCACCTAACCCCCGTGTGTGCTGCCGTGCAAGGCGTGAGCATGGCCACACGCAAGGTGGGCAGCTTGACCAAGCCCACGGTCACCATCAGCACATGCGGCGACGGCACCGTCACCGTGAAGACGGTCAGCGCCTTCAAGAACACCGAGCTGACCTTCAGGCTGGGCGAGGAGTTCGAGGAGACGACAGCGGATGACAGGAAGGTGAAGGTGAGCTTTGCCCGGGTGAGCTAGGAGACACGGTGTTTGTGAGTGTGGTGAGGGCTGTTTGTGTGTGGTTAGGGCTGTGTGTGTGTGTGGTGAGGGCTGTGTGTGTGTGTGGTGAGGGCTGTGTGTGTGTGGTGAGGGTTGTGTGTGTGTGTGGTGAGGGCTGTGTGTGTGTGTGGTGAGGGCTGTGTGTGTGTGTGGTGAGGGCTGTGTTTGGTGAGGGCTGTGTGTGTGTGGTGAAGGCTGTGTGTGTGGTCAGGGATGTGTGTGTGTGTGTGGTGAGGGCTGTGTGTGTGCTGCATGGTGTGTGTGAATGCAGCATGATGTGTGTGAACTCTGCACGGTGTGTGTGCTGCATGGTGTATGTGTGAATGCTGCACGCTGTGTGTGCTGCATGGTGTGTATGCTGCACTGTGTGTGTGCTGCATGGTGTGTGTGTGTGAACGCTGCATGATGTGTGCGTGTGAACGCTGCACGGTGTGTGTGCTGCACGGTGTGTGTGCTGCACGGTGTGTGTGTGTGAATGCTGCACGGTGTGTGTGTGCTGCACGGTGTGTGTGTGCTGCACGGTGTGTGTGTTTGAACGCAGCACGGTGTGTGTGCTGCACGGTGTGTGTGTTTGAACGCTGCACGGTGTGTGTGTGTGCTGCACGGTGTGTGTGCTGCATGGTGTGTGTGAATGCTGCACGGTGTGTGTGCTTCACGGTGTGTGTGTGCTGCACGGTGTGTGTGTGCTCTGGTGCCCTCAGAGCACTGTGACGCAGGAAGGAGGGCGGGTTGTCCACGTGCAGCGCTGGGACGGCCGGGAGACACAGCTCATCCGGGAGCTGCAGGGCGATCAGATGATCATGGTAACGAGTCAAATCGTCGTCACCATCATCATCATCATCCACGAACCGTCAATTATTTCGACTGAGAATCAACCCCCCGGTGTATGATTCATAAGTGATTTTGGGTCGGATCGCGTGAGTACTAATGTGGTGTCGTTAAGCCCTTCTCCACCCGACGCAGCCTGCAACATAAATCTGTGGCGTGAACAAACGCGGCCACTGTTGATTGCTTTGGTAAACCGGTCCGCTAAAGGGTGATCCACAACATTCAACCGTTCACAGCATGGGACCTAACTCTTAAATAATAATGATAACTTGCAACGCACAGTAGTCGCTCGCTCCACCAAGAGTGAGAACGGAGGCGCGAGGAGGAACCACAGACGAGAGGGAAGGCAGCAGCAGCCACGCGGTGAGCCCACGCCAACACATTCCCAAGCTCTGCGGTCCCCTATGTATTCGGGTGTTATTGAGCAATTAATGAGAGTTGACATGTGGGAGGAAACCGGAGCACCCGGAGGAAGCCCACGCGTGCGAGGAGGAAACACTCTATCCCACAAAGATGAAACAGATGGAGGCCACATTATTGTTGTACCGCATTCTCCTGGGGGGGGGGGGGGGGGGGGGTGGGGAATCAGGGTATGGGACCTCCTTGACGGGAAGTTGGTTTCACAACATTTGTGCAGTGATCAACCAACCCTCGCTGCCTCCACAGTGCTGGATGTGTGGATTACTCTTCAGCATGCCGGTGTGCTGAAGCACTAGTTGGCGTGTTTTATTCTCACGTGACAACTTTATTTGGCTACGATGGATGGAGGAGGGTGCGCGACACAACGTTGGCAGTGTACTCGCGTGACAAAAATCAACTGTGAATAATAACAGGAGGTCGTGGGTTCGATCCCGACCCTGACGCCTGCTGCTGCATGTTTGGAGCTTGCGTGTCTCTCTCTCATCATCATCACGGTGGCTAGGAGATGTTAACTACCTCGCCTGGTATACAGGAGGTCGTGGGTTCGATCCCGACCCTGACGCCTGCTGCTGTATATTTGGAGCTTACGTGTCTCTCCCACCCATCGTCGCGTGGATTTTTCTCTTGAGTTTTCCCCTCCACATTTAGAAGCACATTTAGAAGCACGCGTTTCGAGTATTTGGCCGTTATAAATGTCCACGCGATAAGCGTTGCCAGGTCGCTTCTAAAAAGAAAAATCTATGTAGCTCAGTGGGCCTCACCTGGTAAAATAAAGAATACAGGGTGTCCCGTGAGTCTGGAATCATAGGAAAGACACAGCTCTGTGTTATTGGCCCGCGGTCTGGATGCAGTCTGTTAAATTCAACAGCGACCTCCCTCTGACTCCGATTTCCTACGAGTAGAATTATCTGGACTCGTTCTTCCTTACTACTCAAGAGACATCTTGGGCTTGCAGAAACACAACAACATGAATTAGTTCTTTCCCCCGATGATTCCAGACTCATGGGCCACCCTGAAGTTTTTAGTTTAAGTTTGTTTTCTGGAAACAGGAGTCGAGCCCCCCGTTTTTGTTTCTGCCCCCCCCCCCCTCTCTCCAGACGTGCCGGGTGGGAGACGTCGTGAGCACGCGGACGTACGAGAGGGTGTGACGGCCCCCCCCACCCCCCCGGGCCACTGCCATCCTCACGACCGCGTCCCCGTCAAGACACCGTCACTGGGCCAACATTCGCTACATTCCTCTCGACATCTCGACACCCCAGCCCACAGTCGCCGCGGGAGGGGGGGGGGGGTGACGTCTCCGAAGTTGGGAACCTCCGGGGTTTTTGTATTCTCATCCCCGTGTGAATCGCCGACCGCGACCGCCATTTTTAAAAACCCTTCACGAACAAAATAAACCACGGAGTGGCTCGCTCGCAATTTTATATCCGCAAAAGCCGCTCCGTCCGACCCCCCCCCCCCACACACACACACAGCAGTGCCACCCGCGCGGTTACGGGGCCCTCCGACCGATCGGACGCCCGCGACGGTGGTCACGCGTCCGCGAGGTCGGTCCGTGACAACCCGAAACCGAAAGCGGCGGCGGGGGGGGGGGGTCGGAGGGGACGGGTGCGTGGTGGGGGTGGGGGGCGGTTCAGAATCGGCTTCCGCCACCCGGAGAGCTCAGGTTCGATCCCCGCACGGAGGCCGCGCGTCAGCCCCCCCTCCTCCTCTTCGCTCCCTCGTTCGCCTCGCCCTCTTCTCGCTCGCCCCTGTCGTTGTTGCTCTTCTTCTTCTTCCTGCCCCCCGAGTCGAGTTCCTCGCCCGTGCCCTGCTTTTCGCCCTTGACCCCTGACCCCGCCACTGCCTCGTTCTTCTTCCCGGTGCCCTTGGCCGCGTCCGCTTTCTTTTCCGCGGCGCTCGTCGTCTTCTTCGTCTTCTTCGTCTTCTTCCCCGACTCGTGCTCGTCCGTGGCGGCGGCGGCGGCGGCGGCGGCGGACGCGGCGGCCTCTGTGCGTGCCGGCGGACAAAAAGACAACAAAACATCAGCTGTCTCGCCGACATGAGCGGGGGATGGCTGCCAGGGCGGTGTCCACGGACCGTCAGTGCGCGGGGCTTGCGACCCGGAGGTCTACCGGTTCGATTCCCTCTCCCGCCCCGAGATGGTTGAAACAAATGGGGGAAGTTTTCTCAAATCCACCCCCAAACCACCCCCCCCCCCATCGCCACCGCAACCACCGCCTCTGCCCAACCCAGCAGAATCGATGGGAGCACCACCACGGGTTGGACACTCGGCAGGTCGCGTGGGGTTGAGTTAAAGTGTGGGCACTCACATCTCTCCCGAGACGTCTGGCCAGTGCGGTGCGGAAGGCCAAGCGCCTTGCTGGAGGGGTTCCTAAACATGACCCTTTGGTGGAGGTCCTTCCACCAGCAGTGGCGGGAGCAAGCAGTTGCTGGGATGCACATTTACCTTTTTACCGAGAGTCATGGTTCCCTTAATCCGGAGTCAGGGTTTCTCAAGACGTCATTCCCCCCGCGGTCTACCACGGCGTGTCGCATCAGGTCTACCAATGTTTTACATTTAAATTAAAATCGTCGATGCACGCTGCAAACGGCCGAATCACACACCGCACCAGGTACTCGTTCAAAGCTGAGCCGACATCGGCCCAGGACTGGTGTTGGCCGTGAGCGGGAATCGAACTCGGGTCACCGGGTTCGTAGCGCAGCGCGCTAACCACTACGCCACCGTTCCCCGTTGCGCACGTGCGTGCGCGCGCACACACATCTCAGAGTGCATCTAGCCCGCTGGCACAAGTGCTGCGGTGACACCACCACCACTTAGTGGCGAAACACAGCAGCTGCTGCTGCTGCTGCTGTTATTGTAGTTGTTGCCGTGTGTTTGAGCCGTGACGGAGAGCGCCGAAACAAATGAAGGTCGACGCGTCCACGTGTGTTTCCACGCGATGTACACGGCTCCAAATACAAACATCGCCCTTGTGCGCGCCGCGCGGGACGCGTTTACACCAATCGCGAGGCACGCGTGTGGCCCGTGCCCGTTCGTGTCGGAGTTGGAGAAGATCGGCGAGCGTGCAAGGGAGACGCTCCCGTGTAGGGTTGCGAGAACCCACAAACCCGAACCCATCCGATGAGACATCACGGGGCCTCTCGTCCCCACGCCCAGTCCCATACTCTAAAAAATATACAACTATTTTTTTTAGTTTAGCAGGTAAGGGCTCGCTGAGCTATGTAGTTGTTTTTTTTTTCTTTCAGAAGCGACCTGGCTATCACAAACGATAGCTCAACGAAGTGGCGTATCATCATGTGGACATTTATATAAGCCGAGTACTCAGAACGCGCAATGATGATTGTAAATGTGGAGGAGGAAAAACCGGAGGACCTGGAGAAAAATCCACGCGACCACGGGGAGAGAGACACGCAAACTCCAAATGTACAGCAGGTGTCTAGATTGGGATCGAACCCACGACCTCCTTCATACCAGGCGAAATAGTTAACATCTCCTAGCCACCGTGGCGAAATGTTACTGTGGCCTGTGTCCCCCCCCCCCCCCCCCCGAATTCTCAGCCCGAGTGCTGCGTGGGGGTGATGGTGTCACCTCTCAGGGAGGCCGTCTCCTCGTCTGTGCCATCGTTCTCCTCGTCCGGATCCAGCGCCTGGCCTAGAGGCAGCGAAACAACTTCACTCTTCATCATCATCAAGAAACATGCTTCATCATCATCAAGAAACACGCTTCACTCTTCATCATCATCAAGAAACACGCTTCACCATCATCATCATCAAGAAACACGCTTCACCATCATCATCATCAAGAAACACGTTTCACTCTTCATCATCATCAAGAAACACGCTTCACTCTTCATCATCACCCACACACGTACACACACACGTATACACACACACACGTATACACACACACACGTATACACACACACACGTATACACACACACGTATACACACGTATACACACACACGTATACACACACACACGTATACACACACACACGTATACACACACACGTATACACACACACGTATACACACACACGTATACACACACACGTATACACACACACGTATACACACACACGTATACACACACACGTATACACACACACACGTATACACACACACGTATACACACACACACGTATACACACACACGTATACACACACACGTATACACACACACGTATACACACACACGTATACACACACGTATACACACACACGTATACACACACACACGTATACACACACACGTATACACACACACGTATATACACACACACACACGTGTATACATACACACGTACACACACACGTATACACACACGTATACACACACACGTATACACACACACACGTATACACACACACACGTGTACACACACACGTGTACACACACACGTGTACACACACACGTGTACACACACACGTATACACACACACACACGTGTACACACACACACGTGTACACACACACACGTGTACACACACACACGTGTACACACACACACGTGTACACACACACACGTGTACACACACACACGTGTACACACACACACGTGTACACACACACACGTGTACACACACACACGTGTACACACACACACGTGTACACACACACACGTGTACACACACACACGTACACACACACACGTACACACACACACGTACACACACACACGTACACACACACACGTACACACACGTACACGTACACACACGTACACGTACACACACGTACACGTACACACACACACACGTACACACACACACACGTACACACACACACACGTACACACACACACACGTACACACACACACGTACACACACACACACGTACACACACACACACGTACACACACACACACGTACACACACACACACACGTACACACACACACGTACACACACACACGTACACACACACACGTACACACACACACGTACACACAACAACAACAACAACAACCGCCATTCGCCACTAAGTGGCGGTGACGTCACCACGACGCTTGTGCCAGGCTATGTGCACCCTGAGGCCACGTGAAGTGTCGAACGCCCGCTGGCAGGAGGTCACGGGGCAGACCCAGGTGCCACGGGTCGACTGACTGAGATGACTGGCTGATGCACCACCTGTGCCCCCTACTGTGCCAACCTGCTGTGCTTTAGCCACCCGGCGCTCCGCTCGCTGTTGTGAGCGTCGCTCCTCCGCCCTCCGTTGTTGTTGGAGGGCGACTGCCTCCAACTGCCCAGTAGCATCCTTCACGAGCCTCCTCCACAGAGGCCGATCTTGACACCGCTGGTACCAGTCATCGGCAAGTCCACTCAGCTCCACGTCCTCCTGTACCACATCACTCCATCTCTTCTCTAGCCCGTGCCGCGCCCGCTTAGCCCCCTCAATCCGGCCAAACAAAAGCTGTTTCGGCATGCGGTGGCTGGGCATGCGGGCTACATGACCCAGCCATCGCAGCCTTGCCTGCCGGAGGAGCTCACCGATGGGACCCTGCCCAGATCTTTCAAGGATTTGTGAGCTCCTCACACAATCCAGTCTGGTTAAACCCAGGATGGATCGTAGGCAGGTCAGCCTAAATGTTTCTAACCGGCGAAGATGTTCCATTAGGGGGGTCCACGTTTCGCAAGCGTAGAGAAGGGAGGGAATGACCGTGGCCGAGAAGACCTGAAGCTTAGTGCGGAGCGACAGACCAGGTAGCTTCCACACAGCGTTACGCAACCGATGAAAAGATATTGCCGCTCGACTGATTCGGAGTGAGACCTCTGCTGTTAAACTGGAGCCAGTCATAAGCACACTGCCCAGGTATGGGAAACTCTCCACTCTCTCCACAACTGCCCCATCACCGATTGGGAGTTGTGGGGGTGGAGTGTCCGATGGTACAAAATACCCAGGCAGGTGCTTAGTTTTGGTGGGGCTGATGGTAAGGCCCCACCTCTTAGTGGCACGCTCCAGTCTCAGCAGCAGCGTCTGCAACTCCTCCTCTGACTGAGCAGCTATTACCAAGTCATCAGCATACATAACGTGGTTGAGCAATAGGGAGCCATCCCTTGACCGCACCCGGGCATCGATTAGCCTCCCATTATATCTGTACCATATGGAGATTCCCCCGGTACAGCTATTGAAGGCTTCACGAACTACGTGGTCAAAATAGATGTTAAATAATGTGGGAGCCAGAGGACATCCCTGTCGCACCCCAAGGTGTACAGGGAATGGCTCTGACTCCCGGCCACGTAGTTTTACCCGGGCCCGCTCACCATCATGAAGGTCCTTAATGATCGTGAGCAGAGGGTCAGGTACTCCAAAAGCACGAAGAACGACCCAGAGCCCAGGCCTACTGATGGTATCATAGGCCTTGACCAGGTCAATAAAGCAGAGATGTAGGTCTTGTTGGAATTCCCTACACCTCTGCTGTAGCAGACGGACAGAAAATATGGCATCTGTGCAGGACCGCCCTTTCCTGAAACCGCATTGGGGCTCCGCAAGCCTCTCCTCAGCGTGCCTGGCAAGGCGATGCTGAATAATTCTAGCCAGGACCTTTCCCGGCACACTGAGGAGTGAGATGCCCCTGTAGTTGTTACAGTCTGTGCGGTCCCCCTTCTTAAAAAGGGGGACCACCAGGGCATCCTTCCAATCCTGCGGAACCCGTCCAGTGGTCCAGACTGTTGTTATGATGTCATATAGGGCAGTCTGTGCACAAACGCCACCCTCCCTCAGCATTTCGCTTGGGAGATCATCTCTGCCCGCTGCCTTTCCTGGTCTCAGACTCCGGATCGCCTTCAATACTTCCTCAGCAGATGGCACCTCAGCCAGCCACTCACAGGGGGTGACTTCATCCAATATTTGAGGCACCGCAGCCTCAGCAGGGTCATCCTCACTTTGTGCCACGATGTTTTCCTGGCTGTGGGATTTTCCCTCCCCCAGGACCTCACAGAAATGCTCAGCAAATCTGCGAACCTGTTCCTGGGGGTCGGAAATTGGATCACCGTTTTTTCCCCTAATGATGGTAATAGGTGTGGCGCTGCAGGTTACTTTTTTGATGGAGTTAAATAGCGATTTGTGATCACGGGCCACTGAGGCAGACTCCATCTCCTCAGCAACCCGCGACCACCACCCATCCTTGCAGCGCCTCACGGCTCTCCGAACCTCCGAGCGAAGGCTGCGGTAAGCCTCCTCATTCTCTGACGTGGGATTCTGTAGCCGATGACAGTGGGCCTGTCGCTTTTTCTCAACCATCCTGAACAACTCCTCTGTCATCCAGGGTGTCTGGGGAGGTCTGGACCGCGTACCCAAAGCAGCCATTGCAGCTGCATGAGTCACAGTCCTAAACCTCGCCCATTTACCCTCGACATCAGGAGGAGTCGGGGACGATGCCAATCCCAGCCGCAAGCGATGATGAAATTCTCGCTTGCAACTTTCATCAGATAACTGAGACCAGGCCACTTTAGGTTGGAATGGGGTCCTGGGTGTACACCCACCACCGGAGTGGAAGAATGGCAGGCGCATCTTACAGATGACTAGTCGATGGTCAGAGGGTAGATCAGCTCCACGGTAGGTCCTGGTGTCAAGGACATGGGCTCGCATTCGCTGGTCCGTCACTATGTAGTCCAGCAGATGTTCTTGCTTGGACCCGGCATGCATCCATGATGTTGTGTGGATGCGCCGATGCCGGAACAGCGTGTTGGTAATTACAAGCCCATGGGCTGCACAAAAATCTAGCAGCCTCCTACCATTGTTATTGAGCTGATCTGGCCCATGCCCTCCAATCACTCCAGACCAGGTGCCAGTATCATGACCAACTCGGGCATTGAAGTCACCCAACATGATGACTCTATCCCGAGGGGCCACTTTAGCCAGCACCTGTGACAGGAGGTCATAGAAGGCATCTGACTCATCGGCTTTGCCTGCATCCCTCCACGGATGTTCATCTTCGGTGGGGGCATAAGTAACCACGACCACCATTCCTCGCCTCCGGTTGATGGGAAGGCGAGCCCAAAGTAGCCTGGGGCTTACAGCTTCCCACACCTCACCGCCACGCTCCCACGCCCCCTTCATTCTTTTGTTCAAAAGAAGACCCATACCCTGTTGTTTGGCAGTCTGCTGCCCCGAGTAGAGGACTGTCCACCCCTCATGGTGGCAGGAGCCAGAGCCGGTCCACCGGACCTCCTGAATGCCGCATAGATCCAGGCGGTACCGGTCCAGCTCCCGACAGAGGAGTGGCAGCCTCTCCTCTGCAGTGAGCGTTCGAACATTCCACGTGGCCACCCGTAGTGGCTTTTCGTTGTTTCTGGAGTAGCCCCGAGGGTAGGTATTCAATCTCCTGGCTCCGCCAATTGGGGTTTGGCCAGGAGACGTCATAGACGCCTGGCCCCCCGGGGCCTCCGGCACAAGCTTAGTTGTTACATATTTCACTTTAATTCGTGGTTTTGTGGTAATTAATTGAAGGTGGAGGGGTTACCAGCCCCTCGCACCCGTCCAGAGCCCCCGTTTAGCCCCTGTGGTGGACACATATGCCATGAGGGGAGGAGCCAATCAAAATTGGAACTCCCCCCACAGCACTGTCCACGACAGAGTTGCCCGTCCGGCACCGCGAGGAGGTAGGGGGTTGTTTTGCCGTACACACACACACGTACACACACACACG